CCCGAACTGAACACGAATTTGAAGGCTTTGCTCTTCTTGGGGGTTAGACAATCTATTTATGTTTGATTTCCAACAGCAAATGCATTCAGATGCCATTGCGCACGTGACTTTTCTGAATTTGTACTATCTCTTAGTCCAATAGAACTATGTTGGGCTGAAACCTTGATTTTCAAGAATAACTGTACCCAGAATGCTTCGATAAATACAAATTTTGAATGTTTATTACAATAACGCAGTGCACAAGGAATGAATGGTACAAATAAATCTAACACTTACTATTGCTATATTAAAGGGAGCCTATCCCGAAATATGGCTCACTTTACATTGAATGTAAAAGTTGAGCGAAGACATTCTGTGGTGAAATAAAATATTATAAAAATATCAAAATACATTAATGGTTTCTTAGCACCAAAAATGTAATATATACCACATATATTAATAGTCTGTCCATATCTGAGTCAGCTGGAAACCGGTCCACATATGCCCTAAAAAAACGATCCGATCCGTCAGTGCCTTAGTTCTCGCATCCGTGGAACCACCAGCACTTCAGCACTTGCCGCAGTCTAAGTGTCCTGGCATCCTGCATCAGAAACCATAAATCAAAACGACGCAGGCCTCACGATGAGAAGAAAAGAGGCAGCCACTGCGAAGATATCCTGCTCTAATTCTGCCTGAGAGAACCAAAGAAACGCATTACTGTCGCAGGAAGCCGGCGGCGAGTCGCAGCGTTGAGTCGAGTGCGTTAGTTTTGCATATGCAAAGGACCTAGGAGCCATAAAACAGCAAGGACAGCCCGGGCTGTAGAAAAAATCCAACAAAATTAAGTTGAAACCCATATAATATTCCTTCCATATTTTTGTCGTATTTTTTGTGCCTTGGCGTTGCATGTGGTGCATATGATTTATGATGATGCGAGAGGAAAACGTCACGATGACAACGGCAGCGAGGAAGCAAATAAAACAGCAGGCTTAAGTATCTCTCAGATACTTTCGCATCCAAGGCGCTGCGGTGGGGCAATTAAAAGCCCATACGCAATGGACAAACTGTCTTGGCTGCATCGTTAAATGGAAATATTAATTTGTGATTTCTTCACGCCGCCACTTGCAGCTAATTTATTATTAATTGAATTTCAAGGGGCTCATTGGGTTGGATGTTGTATTGGCGTCGTTTAATGTCCCAAAAAAAAAAACAACTTTCCTACTTTGTTAATCGTTCACTTACTAATAAAAAGCAGTATTGAAAAACCACTTCAGTTGAAAAAAAATTAGAATTCATTTAATATAATAAGATATCCGTTGCTGGAATATAAGAAATGTACATGATTTTTATTAATCCATTCAACAAATTCGTATACTGCTTTAAAATCGTATTTTGGATGGGTAGAATTTTGAATTTTATATAATATTAGAAACCGAATAATGGTATTTGTTTACTATGCAGAAGCCATGAGCACGCACCACAAGCCGCATCCAGCCTCCTTTTCTCCCTTCTCATCATACACAGAGTTTTATGTTCTATTTATGTTGTGCAAACGATGCCCCATAATCGTAAAAATATCAAAACAAATCGTTAAAATCGATCTCCGCCGCTTGGCAATCGATTTACAATCCCCGCTAACTCCCCCAAATGTGTCTTCATTTGTGGAGTTTTGTGTTCGCGGGACGCGTGTCAATCGGGTGAGTCTGGTTGCCATATTGAAAGTATCTGTGTATCTCCCATCTATATGTGTTTTGTGTCTCTATTTGTATCTTCATCGGGCTCGTGTGTGTGCGTGCCAATGCCGGCAGCCCCAACCAGAAGAAGCTCATAAATTTTGTAACTTAATTAAGTTGGCATCACTTGAAAATTGTTTGAATTTTTTGTTGCCTCCGGGCTCTTGCTTTTTCCTGTTGTTCGGTGTATAGCCTTTACAGATAATAATTGTAAGAGCCCATAATTGAATCAATATTGATTTATAATTATTGAACACACTCAAGTGCAGCGCCCGCAGACAAAACACAGAGCAGATAATAAGTGAGTGCAACAAATTGTTCATTTAATTGGCCATTGAATAAGAAGTAGAACCTTAATAAATCGTTAGCTAAGCAAATTACAAAAATTGATTTTGAAATTAGCAATTCATTTGATATGTTTTCGATTATTTCAAGAGAAATGATAAAGGATGTTTAAGTAATGATGGGTACAAACATTATAGCTTTTAAGAATAAGGAAATCCCTAATAAAATTAGCATAAATAATTAGAGAAAATCGAAATCATGAGGTTAACTATTAAGTCATCGCTCGGTTTCAAAGTTTCCACATCAGAATCTTTAGCATCACTCAGCTGTTTACTAAACAAATAAATTTAAAATCCACGAATCCAGCCTAAACAACAAAAAATGAAATAGAGTTGTTTGTTTATTTACCAAAGCGAGGGGAAGTGTTGGTGGAATCGTAGACATCCAGCGAGCTTGGGAAGGTGGAAAAGCGAATGAGGAAATTTTCGCAGCATGCCGCAGAGTCTCCTCGGCGTCTCCCACTGCTCCGCTGGGCGAAATGAGGTGCCACATGATATGGGGGCGCACTGGCGTTCTGTTTATCCAACGGGGGTCGCCAAGCCGAGTGTTTGTTTTTATAGACTAATTTTTATGGGGCCACCGGCACCCCCGAAAAGAATACTGCTGTTTGTTTTTCTGTCCGGATTGCTCAACACTTGTTCCAGTACCCGTGTGTTTACGAGTCCATTCCGCCGACTCGGCCTGCCGCACACATAATAATCATCATAACAAGGCATTAACTTGCTCATTAGCCAGCCCAGGCGCACAAAAAGGATTCGGTTGCGGGATCATAAAGCCATCACAGCTCACCGCCCGCTGCAAGGACTGAGGCCCGTTCCGTAATTAAGAAGTTGGCTATGCAAAACCCACGGAAAAATTGGAACAAACTTGGCCGGAACCGGCTACCTGGCTAAATTAAAATCACCCTCTGTGCACGGCAAGTGCCAAGACATTGTCACACATTATCCGGCGGCAAACTTTCCAGAAACAAAGGGGCACAAAGGGTTGTTGGGCTGCTCCGTTCCGGGCTCAAAGACAAAGTTTTACGGTGGCAAAAGGCGAAGGAAGGAGCGGCTAACAAAGTGCCAGCTGCTGACGCGCCCTCGGCTCAATTGCAATTACGGCAAATTACTTTATTACATCCGTAATTGTGTGACCATCGAGCGTGCCATTTTTGGGCCCTTGAATTAGTGCGAGAGCCACAAGTGGTTTGGCATTTTCCGGACCACTCCTCGGTAACGTCTCCGCTATATTGGTAAATCAACCCGCCCCTTTCCCAGTCCACATCCTCGGGATACTTCTTCTTATGGCGAAGTATCAGACGGATGCACATGAAGAGACTCCACCGCCGACGGCAACTTCCAGGTTTTCAAATCCGTCGGCAGTTGTCACGTAATAAGAAGTTTGGTTGTAATTCAATAAAAAAAATTCTTTACAGAATAGATAGTGGTAATCAGAAAATCTATTTTATCTCAACGGCTTTCCAAATATAAGGTGTTGGAATTAATTAATTATTAAAAACGAGAGAGAATGCTATAGACGAGATTCCCGTCTATCAGATACCCGTAACTCAGCTAGTGGCAAAAAAATAATAACATAAAAAAAAACTCAAAAGTGTGGGCGTGGGAGTTTTGGACGGTTTGTGGGCGTTGGCCGAAATGTATGCCAAACACATCGATAGAAATTGGAAAGACAAATAATAAAATTTAAAAAAAGTGAAAGTTTCTGGGCAACCATTATTTTAAAACTACAGTAACAATTATATTACAAGAATATATGTATATTATGGATCTTTACTTCAACATTTTCAAAAAAATACAAAAATGATAATCTATGGTATTATAAGTATCTACATACATATATCGTGTTTTTAGAGCAATGCTTATGTATGTAGCATATATTTGGAAAAGTACACTACAGTAAAAGATAAAACCATGTACACGCACACCTAAATATGCCAAAAATGTTTTTTTAACAAGCGTAAAGCATTTTTTAAATAACAAATTTCAAAAGCATAAAATTAAGTAATACATTTATACATTTGTTATTTGAACAGACCTAACTGGTCATGTTAATATTTGTTTATTACTTCACCAATAATTATAAATTTCCTTTACAGTTCGCCGCGTTTTGTCTGGTTCTTCGCCCCATCAGTGAGTCATCGAATGGTTGTTAATTTGTGATCGGCCCGTGCCCGGCTAATTGTATCTGATCTTGGTCACGATCGTGATCGAGATCATGTCTCGAATAGAGTGGGACTTGTGCTGACGTCACAGCGAAATCATTTGTGCTGCCCACGAACTGCACCTCCGAAAATGATGGGGAAACGCGCGCCAAAATTCGAGAGGCGCTCTTCCACGCAAACTCGCTCTCGCACTCTCCCTATCTCGCTCTCGCCCTATCTTGCTCTCCGCCGCAGCTCAGCCATGTTTATTTATGATGTAAACAAACCATTAAAGTGAGAATTACGAGCGCAGTCGCAGTCGCTGCCATCATGGCAGCGTCGTCGACCGCGACGCAGACGGCGCAGCAGCGCTCTCTCGCTCTCGCAATGCTTTATGGCTGCCGGGAATGGTTTATTACCCACCCACACACACACACACACAAACTCTGAGTCGGCGCTGGCTCTCCTCTCTCGCGAGCAGCTGTTTCTGTGTCAAGCATATGTGGTGGAAAAGAGACGGAGGCAGGGTGGGAGTGGGAGGGTGACATCAAGCTCCGCCCCGTTTTAGTGTTGCGTAACGTGTGCGTTCGGCTCCTTTTGAATTTCGCTCCTGGCTACACTCATTTTGGGACATTTTCCAACTTTATCCTAATGAGAAACCTGTTAGAGGAGCCTCAAAGAAAGCGAGATGGAGACAGGGCGAGAGCGAGATAGTAAGAGCGAGAGAAATTTACGACTACACGTGGTCTCCGCTTTCATTGAGAAACATCATTGTTTATGGGCGTTTACTTTTCGAGGATCTGAATTTACGACCTCTTCTCAAGTGGCTCGCATTCGAGTGAATTTTTCACTCACCACGTTTCAATCTCACTCATCCAAGTACCCGCTCTCTGTTTCTGTGAGTTTTATATCGGCGCTGAACTTGAAAATTACTTTATTAATCATTTAGGAATAAGCACGTCTATTAGAAGGCATTTATCATCGCCCAGAAGCTGAGAAACGAAAACGATATTAGGCGAAATTTTTAATTAAATAAGAATACGGTATGGTGATTAATGATGGTATTGAATTGGAGCTCGGGATTTTCTTAGAAATGCAGGTCAACACCTTATGTATGTTCAAATACCATTTAAAAAATCTCAAAAGACTCACAATATTTTTATATATACAAATATTTTTTAATTATTTATATTAGAAGACCGAAATAAAAATTAAAATGATATTTTGAACTTTTTTTTGTATCAAGAATCGATTCAAGATACCATATTTCGTTATGCCAAACAAATGTCAAACTTTCCCATTCGCACTTCCACTAGCTGAGTAACGGGTATCTGATAGTCGAGAAACTCGACTATTGCGTTCTACCTTGTTTGAGTTCTAACACCTGTACCTTTTCACATTGTTTAAAATGACCATATTCACTGGATAGCGCAAAGATAACATCGCTGATGTTCAAGCCATTTTTTAGCCCCAACTGCATTTCGACCATATTAAATGATCCGATTCAGCGCCATTTTGCCAAAAGGAAAGGAGCGAACTCGCAGGGAGTAAAGTGGTGTGGGGAGCTGCACTCCCAAAGCGCAACTTGCGATGGTCATCAATTAAATCCATCGCAGCAGCCGGCGTCCAACACCTCGGAGCGTCTCACCTTACTCTGCCTTCCCGTGGCGAGTGGATGTGGCCCGCTCTACGGGTCCGCCAATTAATCAAAATCGTCGCCGTGTGCAGTCGCCGGAGTACGGAGTCGGAATCGCAATCGGAGTCGGAGGTGAAGCTGGGTGGCAACGGCGCGGAGTGGGAGTGGGGTGGCGTGGTGTGGGGCTAAAGAAATGTCGTTAACTTAAGTGTCCAATTAATTAAAATCGCATTTAACAGCCGCCAAGCTGCGAAAAGCCATTAAGATAGTTTGTCACAAAACACATGAATGCCCTCAACCAGCCCCAAACTCCTTCTGTATATCTTCCCCCATGTCCAACCTCCGGCTACCCAACCAAAATGGAAACTTTGCTCCTTGAGGTTTCTGGAGCTCATTTTCTCCATCGTCTCAGTTTTGAGCCTTTGAAACTTCATTTTGCCACGGTCTTTTCCTTTTTTTCCTATATCCTTCTTAAAGTGTGTGTTCCTTATAAGCCCGTGCTGTTGTTGCCATTGTGGCTTTCATTTTTGGCCGTTTCAAGTTTGGTGTGGGCAAGTTTATAAATTTGAGCTGCTTGCTCATGTGGTTGTCTGGTTGTTCGTTGTGGGTTTTGGTTTTTGGTTGTCTGCCCAGGCGATTTCACACTCAACTTCTCCGTAATAAGATTAATTTTGTGGGCATTGCCACTATCTCTAGCGGGTCTTTTAAGAGTCTTTTAAATCTTAAAGTCCAACCAGCAAGGCATCCTTAGGACCTAAAGTTAATTTCTAATTATTTTTATTTGAAAAGAGCTGATCCATTTTCTGCACCAAAAGCCATTAAAAAGAGAAGCAAGGTTGTCCCAAAAATGTTCTGTATGAGTTTTGTTTATTAAAATGTTATAAAAATATCAGAGCAGTCAGTGAAACAAGGGACAGATTAGGCATAAATATCATGAAGAAAAACATTTCTTAAAAAAGGAGAACAAAGACAGAATTGAATCTAAGTAAAATTGTAATTTTATACCTTTTAGAAATTAAATGCGACACCTAAGTGCGCTTCTGTAGGACCAAAAATTATAAGGAATACTTTAAATATCAAATATCAAGAAATTAATTTTATTGCTATAGTTGCATCTAAGGTTTCTGTTGGAAGAAATATAGCCACTGCTGCCTGCCAGGGATTCCGGACCAAACAGCCTTACCAATTCAACCAAGACAACACATTTTGAGTAGTCGTGACTAGCTTAGAATTTCCTTAGTAATTTCCTGCTGCTTCCATCTACTTTAAAACCCAAAGAAGATCATTGATCTGAATGTTTTCCAAATATATACATATAAAACCATATATACAAATATTACAAGATTATACAGATGATATGTATATTTCTGTTCCCAAGCTGAAACATTTGTATAATTAAACTACTGGAAATCTTATGTAGCTTTATTTTGTTAGTTATTGAAATTTTACGAATGCAGTTTGGATAGCAATAAAGTAACAGATCCATCATAAAGAAGTATAAAACCGCAGCACGGATCAGGATTTCCTAAAATTACATGAAAAAGTTATTTCTACATGTTCCAACATTAAGAATTTTGTAAGCATCCCTATATTTTAAAACTCATACAATTTTATTTTACAGCCTTGAAAACAAACAATTTGAACACATTTTCTTTAAGACAAGTACGCATAGCATGTATCACAGAAAGAGAAACATTCATTAATTTACTGCACTTTTCGAGTTTCCCTGGGGGGCTAGCAAAATTTTGTGAAGTGTTTTGCTTTTGTTTTAATGTGGGTCCGCAGTGAAAATTTATGAACTCAAGAAGCTGAAATTTCTTCCTCTTCAACTTAGTTTTCTTTTTTTGGTTGCACAGTGCACAAGTGTTTCCCAGAAGAGAGTAAACAAAAGTTTTAAAATGTTTCAGTCCGCTTTTTTTGTTGCTGGCTTGGCAGTAACTAGTAAACATTTGCCAGTTTCTCATTTAATTTATTTTGCGGGCAGTAAATTTATTGCTCCAGTGCTCGAATGTGAGTCGTCGCCTTATCAAATAATTGCTGGCCAGCGAATGTTGCAACAATTAAGCGGATATCCCGAATATTTCCACCTTTTTGTCTTACGAAGCATATTAGTTGATTGTTGCTTTTTTCGTGTGTGTTTTTACATTAACAGCGGCCCGACTCCATTTTTTATGCTTCGCCTGTTGCTTCCAGGTCCTTTTTGGTCTTATCTTTATAGCCTCGCTTAGTGGTCAACGGAAGAATTATGTCGCACAAATCTTTTTATTTGCCATGTCATAATTTTGGTCCACCCCAATGCCCGGCCAAGCAGTGCCAAGCAAGCAGTGTGCCGTGGTGTGAAATATTCGCATGAAATATACAAAAAATTACTCACGAATTAGTGCGAAACTTGTCTAGTTGATAAGGCCGTGTGATATATAGAGGCGAGCTTCTCCTACCTGGGAGGGTCAGCTCCAGCCCATCCGCACCCCTCCCACTCCGGGGACACAAGCACTGGACAGCTGGCAGGGGCATGACATCGATCATTGTGGACGCGTGTGCTGCTCCGTGGAACCTGCAACCTGATGCCGTCGGCCAAGTTCACCGCAGCTTCGTAGAAACGATCGCTGGAAGGGAGGGGAAGCTGGGAAAGCACACACTTAAAAAAATTTATTTATTTTTTATTATGTTTAGTTGGACGATAAGTACGCCAAGGTATTTTGTATCCTTGCTATACAAATTTAGGCTTTGGTAAAATGTAAACTGTCAGAGGTGTATTGGTTCAATTTAATTTCATTAATTGAAATTTGATGATGAACATAATCCCAAATAGGCACCAAATTTTGGAAGATTATATGTAATGTGCGAAAACAAAGTTTGTTACACTGAATGAACAAACTGCAAAATAAATAATGGTGCTCATTTTGTTTTACCATGTTTAATAATATTAACAAACACCATAAGTCGTAATAAGGTCTGCCAATCAGTTTTTAATATCTAAAAATCGTTTTCTCATCTTAAGCCGATTTTTCAAAAATAAGATTCATTCTATTGCATTAATAACAAGTGGAGATTTGAAGAGAGCGAAATAAAATGGTGGACAACTTTTTGGGAGTGTATGGTGGTGTTTGCATTCCAGCCATCTTGTGGTCCAAGGTGTGTCACATCTCTTTTGTGTCGCACATTTGTCAGAAATTAATCATGTTCTTGTTGTCCCGCATGGCAGTGTGTGTTCCCGTGTGTGTCCATGATAAATTGGTCGCCGAGAGAGGGAAAGAGATCCACGGAAAGGTTTGGGCTCGATCCGCAGTTGGGGATCGCTGGGGGATACGAGTGTACGAAATGCAATTAAATGCGATCGCAAACACACGACTTTGGTGGCGCAATTAATTTTCATTAAACAAAAAAGAGGAAAAGTCCCTCCCTACAGCCTAACCGGATTTCGTCCTGAGCCCGAAACTGAAGCGTTGTGGGTTTTTCGCTTTTAATTCCAGGTAATTTAAAGGGTTTATTAGGTTTGTCATGGTGTGCTGAACTTTTGCAGTGCTTCCCCCTGATTAATCCAGTTCATAAACCATTTCGGTACAGTAACGGACAAGCGAACTAGAACCCATTGGATCTTTTTATACGCGATCCATAAGGCTCTGTTATTTCGTTCTACTACGACCTACAACTACATTATTTTTAGTTACCAGCTTTGCATATCTGCAAGTTCATTTGACTCCTCCGCAATTGATTGTTGACCAAGCGACATTAATTGATATTCTTATCGGCGATCGATGACGATTACGCTTTGTGCGATTACTTACTTACTCACATTGCATTGCGTTCGGCTCAATCCACTTTCAATTTGACAGCTGCGACAGACAGGTGACAACCCATAACTCACGATCAGCAGAGCAGGTCCGATCCGACTGGATCCCTTACCATCCATCCCATCCTCGGGCTCCATGTCCGCTTCTTTATTTATGCAACCGCCTTACGCTGGCGTGGCGGAGAGGGCGGTGGGTAATGGGGGAGTGGCAGGGATTAATGCCAGACACGATTCATTGCGATGCCAAGTATTTTGGCTTCAATGGTCAATGGAACTTTGCGGCAAAAAAAGAGGACTCCCAAATCGAGTGGATGGGCAGGGGGCTGGGGCGGGGGCCTTGGGACTCCTTTTGCCATAATATAATTGATGATATTGTCTTTTAATTCGCTGGATCTGTCGTGTCTGGCATAGCGATTCAATTGACTCTCTGAATTTGCTTGCTCCAACATATCGATAAATGTTATCTGGCCGTGTTAAACAGATGTTTGATGACAATGGGGAGATTGGAATTCTAGGATATGTCCATTTGAGGTTTGGTTTTTATATTATATAAATAATAGTGTTATAGAAAGAAAAATCAATAGATCTCACTGCATATAATGAGTAAGGCAAACATGATACATCCATTTAAGACTCCAGTTCTTAAATATACATATACAAATATAAAAACAAAAAACGAAATTTGATTAAACTTTGTTTTAGATATTTATATTATTTAAATATTTACAGAGAGGCCAGGCCAAGTTGTATAAAGACGTACCCGTTCCCAATGGTAAACGTGACTGCTATGCTCGGATACATATTCCATTTTGACTTTGGATACCTAATCTCCATTCTGCGCTTGGAAAAAAGGTTTTCCACCTTTCCTGCTTGTCGGGCAAAACAAATTAGAGATTTGAGCGAGTTATTTACGACCCAAAATGGTTGATCTATGACGGGAATTAGGGGTTCAGTTAGCCGCGCGATGGGGGATGATGTCTCGGAGGGGAATGGGGAAATAAAGGGATATGTGTGTTCGTACACGTTTATCGGGTATCGCACTGTTTGTCTGAAGTTGGCCAGCTAGTTTTTGGTACCAAAATCACCGCATGGCCAAGAGTCGCCAGTCGTCATTTATCTTCTTTTGCCGTCTTCTTATGCTGCATCAAAAATTCAACTGCAAACCGGCCAAATAAATCAGTGCACTTGTCGCAATGGGCGGGAAAGAGAAGGACAGCTGGCGCGAGATAGAGACGGCGCGATGTGTCAAGTGTATTTTTGGACCTCGACAACTCTTTTGCTTTTTGGCATCTTGAGCATTTCTTTGGGGGATTTCCTTCTCCGCTGCTTAACAGGGCAATCCTTAGCGCCGAGATTTATGACATTTTATTTGGCAGCATCTTGGCGAAATCTTATCGAAATTTCAGCTTCTCTCTGGGCATCGGCCAGATCTGCAGTGCATATTTTCAGCATGACCTCAGTCCAAATGAGCTGCGAACTGAAAATCTCTTGTGTCGCCACCAAAACGAAAACCTTCCCGTCCGTCTCCCCATTTAATGGCCAAATTAATCGTGTGCCTAGCTATGCGTAAGTATGCGTAACCGGGGAAAAGTGAAAGGAAAAGTGACCCAATAACGCGCAGTGTCTCCGAGAAACAATGATAACAGCTTGAGAAATGGTCATTACCATTGGTGAATGGCCGGTCCAAGGTCAGCGATTTTGACCATATTTACACCTGCCAATTGTTCCTGTTCAATGTTGTTATTTTTGGTTATCCTTGAACTAAGGCTGTGCCTCAACAGTTGGACCATGGTCCTTTCTGTGACAATGGAATTACTGATCTGTCATGGTTATAATTTACACAAGGGAAATAATAATTATCCAGGCTCACATCCTACGTATTTACGAAATGAAGGTTACGAAAATAATTCTATAACACCCTTCTCAATATTATCGAAGCATATCTGAAAATGTGGAACCTATGTATAAGCCTAAGGTATTGGAGTTTGTCGGTGTCCCTG